TGTAGAGGACAGAACAAATAACAGTGTTAAACTGTCAATCAAGTAGAGTTCATACTCACACAGCAAAATCAGGCATGAAGGCATGAACAGTGGTGTTTAGGAGTTCAGTCTTTAGTGTTAAAATTTAGTTAATGAGATAATTATTAATAAAGACATGCTGTTAACAAGCAGAATCACTGAAGGAAAGACAAACATGAACAGGAAAATAGCCAAGAAACTGCCTTAAGGCACAGCTTTAGGTGGAATTAACTGTAAATAAAATAAATGACTACATTTCTAAAGATTGTCCCCATTTCTAAAGATTGTTTAATATGTTAAAAAATATTAAATTTAGCTGAAAACCTTTTTTCTATTATACATCAAGAGGGGGAATACTGGTTGGAATTCTCTCTAGCTTTGATGGGCCTCCTGGAACAAGTGAAGTAGCACCATATGCTACCATAAGATATGCCAAATTTAAAAATTATGTTGCATGATCAATTTGTTGAGCATGTCTTTGATGCTGCACTTCGTCAGGAGTTAAAACAGTTAATACATTACAATCCTACTTTAAAAATGTTGGCGGATCATAGCTAAGCTCTTAGATGGGTACTGGAGGGTTTGTTGGGCAGTGTCCCATTCACCTATGAGATTCAATATGTTGTGCAGGCTGAGTCATGCTGGGGCTGATTGCTCTCTCTATAGGTCTGAATTGAGTCAATTGCAGGATATGTTAAGACCACAACAAGAACAGTTGAGTAAGACAACTTAGAGTTACCTGTTTACAGGTATTCCAGTGATGAAGTCAATCATCTTAGTTTAACGCCTGCAAGTTGTTTTCTAAATAAGATTAGTCCAGATATTTGGTCGACACTGGCTCCATGGTTTCTCCAATCACAGAGTTGCTTTCATAGTAATAAGCCATGAACCATGGGGCCAGGATCGACAGCTACGAGCTGATAACGGCCTCTCGCTCCTATACATTTCATTATATGGAGCTGGATGCAGAATTATGTGGTCAAATTGTTCAAAAATGTGGAGTGCTTGCTTTCAGAGATCTTGCTGGTGGTATCCGCACCCAAGTCCCACAAGTGTTAAGGAGCTCTTTGGTAAATATGGTCCCAATTGTTTTGACTCGTCCATACCCACTGAAGTTTCTAGTTTTGTTATGAAGGCAAGGCAACATTGACATTTAAAACATGACCATTCTCCAGTAGGTCATGCAGAAAAAGGATAATTGTGAGGTTGAGTTGAATCATGGCTGTTGGCTTCTCTCACTTTGGTGCAGATTGTCCAAGGCCTTGTCTACTTGCCGATAGTGAATGTTAAAATGGTTGATGTCATGCTTTATACTAATATAGATTCTGGGGCACCTAATGCCATTTGGGGTAACTGAGGTAAAACCAGTAGCTATGATGAGTTCTCAGGCTTTCAGAAAAGCTCCTGTTAAAAGATAAATGCTATAGGAACATTTCTCCATCAGAAAATGAAGTAAATCAACCAGTTATTGGAAGCTAAGGTTAACAGGGAGTGTAGTAGCCCATTTGTCACTAGACAAGACTGGATGATTTTGCTCTGCTTCGTATGAAGGAGTTAGACTTCTTGATGGAGGTCAGTTGGTTCTCCACTATTCCTGGCCAGTGGATACAATCAGATTTCGAAAGGGTTTCAGTCTTGATATCTCGCTTGATGACACTGGAACACTGCAGGAAGCAGACCCAGTAATTAAGAAAGCTTAGTCTTTATGGAAACGAGATGGGCTGTACAGCTCTGGAATGCAGACAGTTGTCAAAAATCATTCTGGTCCTGCAGATGAGGCTTGTATTTTCATGTTTTTTGGCAAGACTTGGAAAAATGCAGGTAAGGAAGTGGACCAAAGTATTGGTCGTACCACAGATTTAGTGCAGCAGTGCTGTTAGTGACCGGGCTTGACTTCTGATGTAGTGCAGTAGTGTGGAGAAGTGTCGGGCTGCTAGGGATGCACAACCTGTTGCCCAGAGTTTCATGGGTCACTTGTTGATATCTAGATCTAATGAAATCTTGGC